CAATCAGCTACTGACTTTAACCCAGTCAAGAAGCGAGCGCTCAGCCTTGGCACTTAGCGAAATCCCAACACCGCGAGCTTCGGACGTCGAATCACCGAATGGGAGGGTGAAGCGTGAGTTTGAGGTTGGACCAGGAGAACGCAGGGAGATAATGTGAATGGAGTCTTGTGTGTGTGTTTCGGAGACACATCATACATCTAAATTGTAAGTTTCGTGGGTTCTAGCTAAGGCAGCTTGTTGACCGATCTGGTGGAGTGTGCGGACATTGAACGCGGCCAAGTTAGAAAGGAATTCCGGCTTCAAAAACCTTCCGAATTCTGATTGTTTGGCCTTGGTTTAAAGCGCTGAGTGATATACGATGGGTCTTGTAAACATCAGGCATTTTGGGTTATTTAGGATTGAGAGGAAGAACTAGACAGATGGGAAGGAGGGTTTTCCACACGGGTGCCTAGGACTTTAGGTTACGACATACTTCGCGGTTGCTCACACCGACGAAGGGGTTTTTCTTTAAGAACCCTAACCGTAGCCTTCGACACACTAGTCGCTTCTGGAGACGTGTCACGCAAGGCCTTCGGATTTCGGTTAGGTTTGCCATTCGCTGGTGCGTTGATTGTCGGTCCGCTGTTCGGGGTTGGCCCTTAGTCTCATGCACCCAATGAGACACGCGGAACTTGGACGGGACAGCACATTATTGGCTGGGGTCTGCCCAACTTGGGCGGGCGGTAGCTGTCCAATGAAGTGCGAAGACTTCTCCCACCATCGAGAGGAAGCCCCATGTACCCCGTTCCTATGTCCATCTAGCGTGTTTTTTGACGGGTAAACTGCCCCTCACCGTGTTTATTTGCTGGAATGACTTCTCCATGGGCGGGTGTGAATAGAAGAGGGAAGCCGGGATGTGCCCAATCAACTGACCTTGTGAGACTGATTCTCTGGCCTCTACCTATTGACCTTCCAGGCATGATTGAATCTGCGGCTGTGAGCTGCCATCCTGTGTAGCTCGCTAGGTCATGGAGGCACGCA